TGATACTCTTTGTCACCATTGGTCAGAATCACTCAGCTGGTGCCTTGTTCACTTTGGATCCTGTCACTGGAAGCATGAAAGACTTTTTCAGCAAGAAAAATGTTGAAAAAGGTTTAAATACATCACTAATTTCAATATATTTAAACCTTTTTTACAAATTTTTCAACATTTTTCTTACTGAAAAAGTCTTTCATGCTTCCAGTGTGTAGAGCCTGAGCTGGACTTAGTGCAGAGACTTATGCCTGCTCCCCTGACTGTTTCATTCTCCAAGATCATCAGTATTAATGCCATGAAATCGACAGCTCTTGGTGCATTGCAAGATAATACTTGGTTCCATCTCGCATGTCACAGGATGCAGAGAATTGATGAACCCTTTAAGTCAGCCTTTCTTATGTGTGACCAGCCACTTTCACTCCTTGATGTCGCTCAAATGAATCTGTCTTAGCATCAGTTTGCATTTCTTTCTGCCTGCAAAACCACAGTAGGTGTCCCTAGAATGCCTGACAAAGTAATACACCTGGTGGCTGGCCTGCAATTTGCTGGAGTTAAGAGAATTGTTGGGACATTATAGAAAGTTGATGACAGTACTGTACAGTGCTTAGTCAAAGCATTCTACACAAACTTGTGTGGGGATGGTATGATGAATTCCAAACGAGTTGCCCGAGTGCTGCATAGAGCAGTCCAGTCATTGGCTAGTGACAAGGACATACCCATGGCCCAGTAAATAGTATTTGTGCATTTTGGCATATGATCAATTTCTTATGTCCCCCCACCTTGTTGATTAAAGCAATCTTGAGACAATATGATGACTTCACATCTAGTCATGACCATGCAGAACTTGTTGCCAAAGACTTTGATATTTCAGAGTTCGAGACTTTATATCTCAACAATATTTACACCTGATTTTGACTTCAATCTTGTATTTTCCTTTGTTGCCTGGTAATAGTTTGTGGGTAAGAATGAAGTTGCACAACACTGATCTGGCCTGACACCTCATGAGGCAAGACACAATTTATGATGGACATGATAGTTGGGTGTCTGAATTGCACAAGGACGTTGAATGCACTTCCACTTAACATGCAAACACCAAAATCCAGTGCTGGTGAAGAGCTTCACCCTGTAATTGGCATTTCCATCCATTGCTTGGATTTAAAGATATTCATTGATTTCTGATGTAGATTTCTGAATTGCTATTCAGTCACTACAAGTAAAGAGCTGAGGGGTTATGCGATGTTTAATCATCAGAGCAAGCCTATGCACAAAGAGTGATAAACCACAAATGAGTCGCAAATGACCTATTGTATGTAAAGTGTCCACCATTTTGTACTTGGCGACAGAAAGAGAGCTTTGAGAAAATATTTATTCGAATTGGAAATTGTGTTATCAAATCGTAATACTGCATATGCACCAATTCCCGACTACTCTCGACCAATCCTATTTGTTGATCATATGTGGTCTCATTTCCTCATCACTACATATATGCAATCCAAGCTAGCCACCACTCAGAGCAACATGCTTCCCTGGTATAATTTGACATGGTGGTATAATACCTGCATACATTTATAGCCTGGATCCCTCTGTCTTTTGTATAGCTACACTGAATATCCTGACAAAGTTTGCACAATACATTTCTAAACAATGAAATTATCAGTCACATGAAGAGAATCAAGATGGAGTTCAACATATGAGAATGGCCAATAACAAACAGTCGACAATCTGTCTAGTACTGAGCACATATGGCACAAAAAGAGGCGACAGTCCACCATGAAGCTCTCAAATATGCATCCTAGCACTCAATCATAGTATGTTTAGGAATGAGGACTGACCATTGGTTCTGCCATTCAATGGTCTGCACAGCCGCAGCTGACATGCACAACTCTTTTTTGTTCGCGACAGATACACTCAGACAATATCAACAGATAAGAAGTCAAGCTTGAACAACAGCAGACCCATATTCAAACTCCAATATACAGGTGATTAATTACAATGCACACACTGCCAATATATTGGTGAATGGACTGCATGCAAGCCAGATGTCACATAAGACAGGAGAGCCTATGAGTTGCAGGTATAACACATGAGCACAGATGTAGCAGACCAAGCTGTTGGAGGTTTTGGAATGAGAGCAACTATACACCACAGGTAGATGGGGTAAAGGTGATCTGTAGATATAGTCACATATGGAGGTAAGAAGGATATTGTGTAGACAGCAAACAAGAAGATCAGTGTTCAAGGCAGCACACTATCGCAATGATAGACATATGTAGGAGGAGCCAGATGATGAAGCACTGCTGCCACCTCTGTGCCATAAATGTTTTCAAAAAAAAGCAGGAGAAAATGATGATCATATTCAACTGATAGGTTCACTGATGTGAATTCACTCAATACTTACTTTGGACATAGACTTCGTGATGAGAGTAGCACATAGTTCAAGGAAATAGTAGGAAATGGCGGCAATGAAGTTCGACGGATGGTGAAGGTTTTAGACGACAGAAAGATATGACCACACTGCATACACAGCATGAAGGTGATAGAGATAGATAACATGAACGCAAGCTGACATGATGTTTCCCACAGGATTTTTTGTAGAGAAAAAGATATTTCTTGCAAACAGAACCTAGACTTGTTGTGACTCATCGGGAATTAGATTTGCCCACAGTGTCAACCTGCTCACTAAACTTCTTCAGCACGGAAGATGTTTCTGCCTCAGAGGCAGACTGAGTTCTGGGGATTAGAGGTGTTATGGTACCTGGAGTGGAAGGTGTGGATGCTTGGTCTAAGCTATACTCGATATCATTCACATTAGCAAACTCTTGGTCTGTTATGTGAGACATTTCTCAGTCTGGGAATTTGATTACTGTTGAAGTTAGGCTTTCTGGATTTGAACAATCTCAATCCATGCTGAGGAGAGCATCCAATGAGTAGGTGATCCCTTTACTCTTTCAAAAGAATTTGGTTTTTTTGATACTCAACTCAAGCTTGTCAGCATCCTTCGTAAACTTTGGTATGACATCGTCGGCCCCATAGTACGAGCCCCTAGAGTATCAAATATCTGCCCTGGTTTGTGTATCTGGTGGTGTCCCACTTCATGCTGCTTCCTCTATATGCAGCAGGAGCTTACAAGAAGAAGAGAGACAGTCTGTCTTACATCTACATATCCTCGTACACCCAACTTTTGTGACTCTTGTTTGTGCAAGACAGCAGGTTTCTTGAGATGCATCCCCATGACATTTTGTGGCCAATGGTCAAGGAAAACCAGATAGAGGGAGTCCACTTGAATGTAGAACTCCCGAGCTAGCCATTGTCACCAAGTGTCTCAGGCCCATCATGTTGTCCTTCACGTAGCTTAGGACAGCGACGCAATGGTCAAGGGTGCATTTGACGCACTGAACAATCACCAGTGGCTTCACCTGGCTTGCTATGGAATGCCTGATCAACAATGACCATTTGAATCTTCCTTCACAATGTGTGATGGGCCGTTGACGATTAAGGACATTATCCAATCCAACTGGCAGGAGTTGCAGTTTGCATTCCTGTCAGGTTGCCACACTACCATGGGAATGAACAAGCTGTCAATAAGGTGTTTTTAATAGCAGTGATACTACTTAATATGGCATCAGCTGCCTGCTCTGCACGTGTAGCAGCTGCCAATGCAGACATTGTAATATTGATGTTCTCGGTGTTACGCACTCAAATAGATCTGTTAGGCGGAGCCCTAAGAGGGGCGTCGTCCGCTAACGTTCGTGACGTAACCGGAAGGATCCGGTATAGCAAGTGATACTGGCGACGACGAGTCGGCAGTGATCACAGTACGCGCGTGTCACGTGACTTCTGAGACAGATGTCTTAGAAGTAGCTCAAGGTAAGGACAGTCTTGTCCGAACAATGAGGTCGATCGAGGTAGACTTAGTCGCGATGAGCAACTAAGAAAAGATACTAGAGACTGAAGCCAAAGGGGCGTTCAGAGGGAAGTATGTTCCAGGGAAGATTGAGTAGATTCAAGTTAGAGAATCTAGTACAGGGTGACCAACTACTTATACTAAGTGGAGAGGGTTAAGGGCAAGGCTACCGCACAGTAGGTAAGGGTAAAGGGGAAACGAGAATGGTATAGGTGCGTTGGCAACATAGCCGGATTAGTGATGGGTGGTCGAATGTGGAATGAGACCGAGAAACGTTGGAACGAGCCAACGGTAAGAATACAACGTGCGGGAATCCGCAGTCAGAAGGAACAGAATGAGGAAAGCCACATTGGTGGCACGAGTCAGACTGAGTCATAGGTGCGGGACCACATTGGTGGTCGAATCAGGAGAGGAACGTGCGTGCACGTGCATAGAGGCGGGCGATGCGAGGGACGGGAACGGTCCCGAGGATCCGGTCAACGGAAAGTCGGTAAAGGAGGACAAGCCGGTAGATGGTGAGGGCAAGGATGAAGGGAAAATGATAGGGGGGCCACGTGACCGATGTTACTTGTAACACTCAGTGCTTGCTGCCATGTCTGACTTGAGTCTCGCTAAGTCTTCCATGTTCAATTTGAGGTTCTCTGATGTGGTGAGTATGGTAGCCATCTGGGGAGAGATGGCTGCAATGACATGTGCTGATAGTGATGATGAGAGGTTGGCCACAATTTGGGCTGAGAGTGAGGTCATGAGAGATTCAGCGAGTTGCTGGGCAGTTGATGTTGGCATTTGTGTTTGTTCATTGGCGAGGTTGTCTTCTAAAAGTATTGCAACAGCTCTGAGTCCTTCTACGACTATGTGGGGAATACCTGTATATTGGGTGATGTGTAAAATTGTTAGTAGTAAGCTTTCATTTGACATTGGTTCGCCCATATGACAGAAGGGAGACTTCTCTAGAAATGTGATACTGCTTTCTTTATCCTTGACATTGTATTCTTGCTGCATTATTTCATCTTTCATTACCAGTAATGAGACTGTGTTACGATGAGATGCTCTGGTTCTGTTTGTGGGAGTAGGAGCACAGGTGCTCGTGTTGCTGGTCCCCATGGGCGATAAGAAGAGTCCCGATGAATCGATACATCTCACTGCAGCAATGCAATTCTCTGTATTTCACAGTGTGATCGGTTCCATGTGGTCTGTTGATGGTGAGGTTTCACAGGAGGTTGTGTCTAGTTTTTACGACAACCTGGTCGATGATTCAGGGAGATTGGACTGCATGCATGCTGCAATGGTGTTGCACAAGGCTGTGAAGAAATTGCGGCACAGTGATATTCCACTGGAACAGCAGATTGTATTTGTTCACATTGGTGTGTAGTTAGAGACATATTATTCCATTTTCTGTATTTCTAGTTGTTTTTATTCCCTCGCTCTGCTATTGCTTACTTATTTCTGCATGATACCACTTTGTTGTTCTGTACTGTACTAGTGCCACATGAGTATCAAAAAACCACTGACGGCCTCAGGTATTGTCAGCACTCACGTTCGGACAAGAGGTCAGGTTGATGCCATTATTAGAGTAGCCATCCCACTAGTGATGATTCACAGGCCGAGTTGATCTGGGTGAGTAGACTTGTATTGAAACTTTGAAAGAGCAACATGAAAATTCAACTATTTTGCAGCAGAGTCAACACTGGTCCCTGATGACCATTACTATGTACCTTGGTGTATGTAACTCGTGACAAAAATATGGTTGGCAAGTCATGGTATTAACTTCAAAATATTCCAGGTGCGCTACATCAGAATGATATACTATGCCATATATGTTTCGGAGGACATGCAATCAGCCTTTTCCTAAATAGTGGCCACCATTATTCACAATCAGCATCTGTGTTCTGTGTCTGTCTCATCATATTCCAAAGTCTCCATGTGTGTTCTGATTAGGGATCTGCACAGGTACGGGTAACCTGCGCGGGTCACGGGTACGGGTACTACTGGGGTACGGGTACGGGTCGGGATTCTAAGACCCGCGCTCTTACCCATACCCCAGCTATACCCGTGCCTTCCATAAATGGTAATTTTTTTGGCATGAAGAACGTCAACATTCACCAAGTCAGAAGTTCCCATTGACCATTCTTGGGCCGTCTCTTAATCAAAAGGTGCGTTTTTACAATTTTCTCTAAGGTGTGTGTATTGTGTATTTTTATAATGCTAACTACCTTGTCCTTTTCTTCGTTCCTACCTCTCGTCCTCACACACTCCTCAACTGCAACCGTCATCAACATCTTTGCTCACCACGCCACTATCAACATCTTCGCACCCAGCATTCCTGCGTGCACACTACAACTGGCACCACCACCAACACCAGCACCTAACGCGCCTTCCCAAGTCCACCAACTCCACGTTCACAGTGCGCACGCCCGAAATGCATCAACAAGTGTTGACACGATGCAAACGCACACAGACGACACACAAAGATGAAAGGACAAGAGAATCGAAGAAGGGAGAAGGGATGGTATAGAGATGAAGGAGGAAAGAGGAACTCGAGGAGACGAGACTTTGGGCACGCTGGAAGTGAGTACTCACATTGAAGACTCTACCCCCAGCAACAACAATGACGTCATACGTGTCACGTCGCCGGCACCTATCTTTGTGCGCCCAGCACTTGCACCACCACCAGCACTTGCACCACCACCAGCATTCACACCACCACCAGCTTTCACGCCAACACCACCATCCATGTCACCTTCGCCATCATTCACACCACCATCTTTGTCATTCGCGCCGGCACTAGCGCATACCCCAGCGACACCATCACCAATGACCACTACGCCATTCCCAACACGACAGACGCCATGCGTGAATGCCCAGCACACGCCCCTCCTCCTTCTTGTGCCTTCCACATATGTTCAAGTCACATCAGCATTCGCTGACATGTGCTGGACATATGTGCTAAGCACTGGCGGCTGACAATCGATAATGTAGGTGCCTTTTTCATTGTTTTGATATTATCATTGAGTAGCTATTGTACACTGTGTCGTAAATTTACCATATAGTATCTATGACCCGTGGGTACACCCTTGATGGGTTGTATCCCGGGTCCTTACTTCGCTACCCACTGTGCAACCCATACCCTTGCTGCGGGTGTGGGTTTACCTCGGGGTGCGGGTGCAGGTTGACCTGCCAACACCCGGGGGTTCACCCGTGCGGATCCCTAGTTCTGATTGAGGGCACACAGTTTATGTTCCGACAATCCTGGTGACCAATATGGTGAGTATTCTTTGTGAAACCTATAGGTTATTCTCATTCAATCAACACATCACTATGTAGGGGTGAGTGAAATTCTCAAAAAACTGATTAAAGATAATGACTTCCAAAGTTCCAAAGTTCCACAGTTGTGAGTTTCTTTGAAATGTGTGCTCCTCCGAGACTAATAACTTATATTACTTGATTTATCAGGCCATATTATATCCAAGGCAATAGAATACATTAATGATGCGCAAATATAATGCTGGGTGGTGAGCTACACATTTTTGTGATATTGACTTCATCAGCAAACTATTGATTTCATGACAGGCGCCACAGGTCACACAAGGTTCCACAAGGTGCCACAGGCTTACAAACTTCACAAACATATAATAAAATATGACACCACTGATGCTACTAATGTCTAGATATAATACAAAACAACATAAATACTGTTACGGTATACTTACACCCCTACCTTTTCTTTCACTACTGGACAATGGTCTCTTGTTTCCTCTGTCACTGAAAGGCCAATTACCTTTCAGACCCTTATGCACATGGTTGCCAAGGCCACATTCCGCGCTAGCAACCATCACTATGCATAGCCCTTATCTCTTCCATCAAGCGGGCTGTCCGCACTATGTTTGCTATCTCTTATCTCTTATCCATCACCAAGCGGGCTGTCTGCCTCTTATCTTGATACATCATTTACAAGCTCCGCTTGAACATTGGCTATATAGACATGTACTTTACCGGTTATATACTTCACTTGAATCTACTGGGTTTTACCTGGAAACTCGTCCTTTAGCAAGGTCTCCAACCTTGCTATCTAAGAACCATTATTCTAAGGGAGTCGCCTACACTCGCCTTAGCCAGAAACCCTTGATCTCTCATTAGAGAGAAGACCTCCGTCTGTCTTGCTATTAGCAGATCGTCCATTTGGACTTAGACAGCTTGACTCATCCCAGTTGTAACAAATACTTGAATTTTAACAAGTATTCATATCTCTTGCTAACTATGTTATGCCTAAGCTTGTACAACTTGTACAACCTGTGCTGAGATTTGATAAAATTACTAGTTTTCTAACCTTATTATGGTCTCTACTATCCCTAAAGCCCTGATTTTGATGCATATGCTAAGATATATATTAATCTTTACTGTACAAGATCTATTTGACTCTGAGTGAAATAGGATGTGTTAAATAAATTAGTTCATCATTGTATTGCAATAATGTGATGTTAGTGTAGTGTTATTTATGTAGTAGTGAATAGAATGGTAGTGTTGTGGTAATAATAATTTGACTAGATTGACTTGGTGAAATTTTCGCATTTTTGACATGTGACATTGGGATATATTGGTGTTATTGTTGTGATATATAGATGGTCTTGTGGCCTAGTGGTAATGATGATGCAGTTATAATTGCTAGAGACCTTTGGTTCAATCCTTACCAATTGCAAAATATCCTGTGTAAAACAAATTACATGATGTGACCATGTGACATAACATGGTGGCATATCTTTTGGTATTTGTGCTTTGAAATCCACAAGTCCACAAGCTTTACAAGGTGCCTTGTACAAGCCTGCACAAGGGGGACTTAGCTGTAGGTTCTGTGAGTCTGTACAAGCCTGTACAATGCTGTACAGACCCCCAGTAGTTTGCTGATGTTAACTGAAATATCAGGCAAGTCATCATGATTGTTGGGTTATGTGCCATGTATAGTGCTGCCGAAGTTCGGTTCAGTCCGGTTCGGAGAGTGATTTTTCTGAACCTCGAACTTTACAAAACTTCGGTTCATAGGGACAGCCCAAACCTCGAACTGAACTTCAGTGAACGGGTTCGGGGGGTCCAGTTCGAGTTCAGAACCGGTTCGAACCATGAACCAAATGAATATTGCAAAAAAAAACACATGACAAGTAATTATACTAAAGATCTACTGCTGCAAGTTCTGCATGAGCATGAGCTGAAATATGACCCTCATGATAAGCACTCTTAAGTAACTGCAGTGCCTCGAAGACCTCTGGGAGCAATGAGTTGCAACGTGCTGTACCAGTAATGCCTCCGCTCGAGAACGCGCGCTCCGATGCAACTGCTGAGCCCTGAATTGCAAGGTAGTCTTTCGCAATCTTGGCCATTATCGGATATTGCAAAGAGTGACGCTATATTTAATTTTGTTAGCCTCTCATGCAAACAAACAAGTAAATAAATATAACACACCCCCCACCATGCAACTGGGTTCTCGACATCCTCCAGAGGAGCACAAAGGTAATTGGTGAGTTCTTGTCGTGGGTGTTGGTGTGCGGCGTCGGTAGCGAGGCGTGATTTGATGGCGTCGCGCATCCAACTATGCCCGTATGAACCTTCACGCACCAATGCATGTGGTGCATTCTTTGTCACATCAGAAGCAACCGCTGGCATTGACTTTGAATATTTATCGAACTAAAAAAATGTTGTCAGTCAAACAAGTTCGCATAAGGGTAGATAAACACTTACTAGGTTTTCGAGGCAGGCCATCCCATCCTCGAAGTACTGTGTATCCCATTTGTCTTTCGCGTATGCTAGTTTGTAGTTAGGATCCAAAGCTATATAGTTTGAATCAGTAGATGCGGCTGATGAGTTTAAAAGAAAAAACTCACCGAGACAGACAAAGTACACGTCCGTGTCATCAGTTTTACGATACCACTTGCGGATGTTTTCGAGACCCAAGTGAATGGTGTTGGCAATACCATTGAACTTCGAAGCCTGGGCCATATTTTCCCAAGTCTCTTGAAGGAACTCGAGAATCGGAATAGTACGCCATACAGTGGGCTGATGAGTCGCCGAGAAGCTCTGCTGAGCATTAGCAGGCTCCTATAATGTAGAAATTAGTTAGTATAAACGAACCAGAAAAAAGAGAGGCTCACCTGGAGTACATCTCGCATGAGCTCCAACTTCGACCACTCATGACCTGAGAGCTTGAAGTCTGAATAGGATTTACCGTGCAGTTTCGGAACCTCGTCACTGTCATCTGCAAGTTGAATGAACCTATTGACGCCCTAAAAAAATCAATGTCAGTTAGTGTGGAAGATACCGAGACAGCGTGACTTACCTTTCGTAAGCGCAGCATTCGCTCCAACATGTTGAATAGGGAGGCCCAGCGAGTCCGAATCCACTTGAGAAGCTCGAGGGTAGGGACACCTGCCTCACCACAACATTTGTGGAAGAAGACACGAGCTTGGGGTGACTTGCAAATCTAATAGATTACATTAGCTAAAAGTACTGAGAAAAGTTTTAAAAAAGCTTACCTGTGTGATGAGTGCAAGTGCTTTGCCAACAGTATCCGCTATGTCGTAGTTGTCATTGTGCTCTTCGTCAGCGTCGTTACCTGTAGGGCCAACCGCTTCGACAAAATGCTTTGCCGCTAAATGAAGGGCATGCTCCATACAACTAGACAGACATAAGTATCTATAAATCTGAAACAATGAATACTTACCGCACACGATGCTGATCGGCATTCCATTGTTCACTGGATGGATCAATCTCATCTGCGACTACTTGGATAGCAGTATCGTTATTTGTGGCGTTGTCTGCAGTGAACCAACCAAGCTAAATTTCATCTTGTGAGGTGTGATCTAAAACAAGGAAGAAAAACGCACCATTTTTCGAACACCGTACTCATCAATAACCTCCATTAAAATGCACCCAATGTTGGCACCACTATGGTTTCCTTCAATATACCTGAAAGCAAGCTGATCGGACTTCAGCTCCCACTCTTGGGGCTTGTCAGCGGGAGCATCAATATAATGAGCTGTGACTGATAAGAAAGGGTCGCCTATGAGAGATGTCCAGGAGTCAAATGTCATTGATATTTTGCTATCAATGTGCGCGAGCTTGTCCTTGATTGTCTCGACAGCGAGTCTGGCTCTTTTGAGGATCTCCTCGCGGGTTTTCGTACAGTGAGGAATGGCACCATCAGAAAGATTGGGGCGAAGATACTGCAAGAGGCGACGGAAAGGCCCTTTGTCGATGAGCTGGATGGCTTCATCCTCAGAGACGATGAGCTCAACTATGTAGTCCATCAAGCCCGCCTTCATGAACTGAGGAATTTTGGGGGCAAGTGACCCGTCCAATGTTTTCTGGTGCTCGCTGGAGTTTCAGACACTTGCAGGAATAGCATGTTCATTCAGCGCGATATCTTGTGCCTCGCATCGGCTCTTGTAGACCGGGAAATGACACTTCAGATTCCTGTTATATTGTTGGGTTAGTTGGCATTAAGTTTGCAGGTAGTGAGGATACTCACCTTGAAATGTGTGTACGGCGCGTAGAAATACTACCTTTGAAAAACGATTGATGAGCCGGCAGCCCTGCATCCCTAAGGTACATGTCAGTATCCTACAAGGCAGATTTTATGGTGCAGAAATTTACGTACTTGCAAATATTGCACCACCAGCCATCCTCAGGTGTCCCAGTGTCTGGGTTGAGACGCTGAAGGTACAACAATTCAGATGGTGAGTCTGAACAATGTTGGGTCTTGCAGAACCTAGCTGCTATTCGACCCTAAAGGGTTTCTGGACCAGGCTCAAGGCTCAGAGAAGAGGAAATATCATGAAAACTTGCTGAGTACTCAGACTCATACTGGTAACTGGTGAAAAGATAACTTGATTATGTAAGCTACAAAAGTGCAAACATAACACTAAGGTAAAAACAGTCTCTGCAAGCCTAGCCAGAAATGAATCCCTACAACGCCCTTTCTCTTCTGTGAAAATGGTCCAGAGATCGGCTGTGCGATCTGTCCTCCTGGATGTTTGGCGGGCCTGACAATGTTGATTAGAAATGTGTCCGTAGATTATAATTAAGAAAAAAATGTACCTGGCGGTCTGCATCTCCGAGTGACTTGGTCTTCTGGTATGCTTCCTCGGTGTCGTCGGCTTCTTCGGCTTCGTTACCGAGATTGTTAGTGTACTCTGAATCATCAGCGGATGAGTCATCTCCATCGGCAATGGGAGGGATGAGGTTGTCATCTAAGTCATCTTCCTTGGGAGCCGCTCGTATGTCAACTTTTTTGATGGGTGCATCGTCTGCACTCGATAATGCCCGTTTGCGTGGGCGCGTGCCTGAAGACAACTCAGGTGAAGTGTTATCAGCTGCTCGAAGACGAGCAGAGGGCTTGAAAGGGCGAGAAGAGCGTCGAGTACCACCTTTGATAGATGCCGGCTGCCTTCCACCTTGCATAAGGACAGCAAGTGAGTCTTTGGCAGGAGGAGGAGTAATTGGTGTGTCATCATCCGCATCGTTGAACCATTGAATTTCGGAGGCATCCTTCAATGCCCCATCAGCACCAACAGCACAGTTGGTCATTTTGCGAGAGAAGAGAAAGGTACTCACCTCAGATGTGCTATTGGTGATCCCTTTATTTGGACCTTGAAGGCCCGTGCACCTACAATGTAAGGCAACAATGAATATCTCCTAGAAATTGAACATATTAGCAGTTGAGATGGGCGTTGCGATACTGTATATTAGCTATTGACAGATTGAGAATGTCAAAATAAGAAAAATTGGATGGGAAATTAGAGAATAAGCAAGATGGGGAACATACATACCAGTGACATCGCAGGACCGATCCCACTGTGATGAAGGTCAATGACAAGGATCAATTGTGGGGGAAGGGAGCACTGAGTGGGACAACGTATGCAACACTTGAACCAAGCGTGCGGTATCCGCATGTTTGATGTACCGACTATGTGGTAACCAACCAAACCTTGATGTTACCTTATTGGTTCGGACCGGTCCGGACCAGTCTGAACCCGTTCACAATTTGTCAGTACTGATCGAACTGCGAACCTGACCAGAAGTCTGGTCCAAGGTCTCCAACGGACCTTGGACCAAACTTCTGGTCCGGTCCAGGGAAGTCCAGGTTCGAACCATGGTTCTGGACCGAACCGTGGCAGCACTAGCCATGTATCAGAAATCCAGATGTGTGCTGATATTCCTCATTGTTGTCTTCCCCGCTATAAGAATCGCCATTGGAGTAATGAGCGCAATAACAGTGAGTCATTTTGTAGTTGGTAAGGATTGATTGTGGATAAAACATTCAAGTACACCTGGCTTATTGACAAATATCAGAGGAACATGCTGGCAATTATGAATGCACTATTGCTTTTAGGGGAAGTGTCCCTGAGTTCTGAACTACACCACTTGGATACTCCTCGCTACATGGGAGGTCCTCACACTTTGCCTCGCAGTCTGGATAGCTCTAAACACTTCTGTGAAATGCAACAACAATCATCAGGAGGAACGATCATAGACTGTTTCACAGTTCTAATAAAAATTCACATTGCGTACTTTGCGAGGTGAGCTCATAATCTGAATATACTCTTTTCCACTAATTCAAGTCCTGCATCATTGCTAGTTTTGTCGCTCTTACTTGCATCGAGTTCATCGGTTATCTTTCTCCAACGATCTCAATGGTGGTACACCAACCTATTCTGACCTTTGCATGCAACCCCGATTCATCACTTTCATAGTGCTCATATTCCACAAAACTCAAACTTATAGTGATTTCTCTGAAATATTTATGTTCACACAGATGTTTATACTTGTTACAGGCATCCGTAACACCTACTGGAGCCCCCGCTCTGCTAGACTCCCGACGCGGCGGCACACCACCTGCACTTAGAAAGACAGCGGTCTGGACCGCTGTGACACCGCCCCTGGCGCTATGACACCACCCCTGGCCTAGACGGCCTTGTACCTGATCCATGGAGGCTGTACGCCTCATGGTCACCCTAGATCAGCGCATGTATACCTCATGCCGCTTCATGTAGATCCGGAGCGCCCTTGGCGCCTCAGGTACTTATGCGCAGTCGCACTTGGCGCTGCATGCTTGATCAGAGGTTAAGCCTCATGTACCTTATCTAACCTCATGTCTTGTTATCATAGATCCTAGATATACTATAGATTACAGACTGAGCTTGAACACTTGTATGTAGCACATATAAGTAGACAGATTATTGTACTTAGACTTTACTTTAATCTACTTGGTTCTACCCTGAAACTTGTTCAGTTAAGCCACCCAGCTTAGCTGTCTAGATCGCACTTCTAAGTCGCTCCCCGCGCCTTAGCCGTATCCGCTAGCCCTGTATCTCGACGAGCGCCGTCTTACCGAGATAACCGGAGGAACCTTTGACATTCCGTCAAGCCGAGAACCACCCTTAGCTTCATAGGTTCACTCGAACCGTCGCTAAGAAGACCTATCCAAGTTCGCATACGCCGACCGACGGTCAGCGTAACAATACTGGGACCACGCCTCATCCTAAGCATTCGAGAATATCATGCTAGGCTTGTGGCCCAATTGGATGCTGCAACTGCTGCAACTTCAATTGATTTCCAGGAGAGCATCTGTGTCAACTAGCAGTACTATGTGAAACAGGAGAATCATTTTTGATATGAATTTGTTTGTGTTTATTCAAAATTTCGTCTTGGTACTTACCTAAATATTTAACTTATCGGACGTACTACGTAAGTGAATTTGAGTTTCTACATTCCTGTGACCACTGAAACTTTGACAAACAAGAAATAAAGTACCGTGACTCGCTCCTGAAGACACGGATGATTGTGTGGTGTTTCACGAGATAAAATACACTTGGATGGAACATGTGGTAGATTGAGCTCGGCTCAGTACGCGCATGTAGTGACACACGAGAAATCACTTAAACTGGGCCCTAGTCAGGTCCATGCAATCGATACCCAAGTCTTCTGCAATGATCATTGCAGCCCGCTCTCCGATGAGAAGTGCCGTCGAATACGTGTTCTGTATATACCATTAGATCGCACGTCAACAATCCCCTGTTCAGTACCCACCGTGCCAACATTCAATGGAGAAATGGACATATCTGCGACCTTCAGGTTTGACACACCATATACATTTAGCCGAGCGTCGACGACTCCTCGATCCTCCTCTGGTTTCATGGCACACGTCCCAAGCTACAAATCCAAAGATCAGATATGAAATCATGGAAGGTTTAGCTGCACACACCGAGTGCCATGCCGTTTGCACTAATGTTCAATTCAGTACTTCACCGTGGAAATGGAGATGGCGCAAGTCGGGACTTACCGACGTCGCGGTGGAATTGACTGATCGCCTCGTCATCTTCGGCAGTGTAGACAATGTCAGGTGCATTCATGTCCACCGGCCCGGACGCTTCTCTGCAGGCTGCGGCGCTTCCCTCTGGGAAATCAGGGTGGCCAGCAGTGATTTCACCTCGATAGGAAGCCATGCGTCGAAATAATTCGCGTGTCTTTTTGTACCCGAAGTCAAGAGGAACAATATCGGATGGACTGTGCGGAGTATCATAGTCACACAAAGTGCCCTCAAATGAATGTGTCCACTCACTCATCTAGGAAGCCTGTAGTAAAGTCCATTCCTTCTTTGTTGTTCTCTGTCACATTGATATGAACGCTTCCAACAGACACGGGGTAAAGCTATCGAAGAGATTCAGATAGAAACCATGGGGTAGACGGAGAGCAGTACTGTAAAATAGCCGGCGGTCATGTAGTTGCGAGGAGGAAGGATGAGAGGCCTCGAGAGTTGTGGACCATATCTAACTGTTATGAGTATTTCAATATCATCGATGTCAGGCAATATACACCCACCCCGCAAGAGCACCAAATATTGCAACAGCCTTGTCTGGGCGGTCCTGGAAGAACTCCTTCCAGCGTGGCTGAAAAACTGGATCCATGGCTTTCAATTCCTCATCATCAGGACGCCACTTGATTGTTGAATCGATGCCGCTGAGATACCAATAAGCACAATACCAGCAGCGATGATTTGCACTAACTTTTGTGCAATCAATGACTTTCCGCTGCTGTTCCATTGTGCAAGACTTTCTACATTGAGGTAGTTGTAAATTGCTGAAATCATAGGGAGAACATGCTTACCCTGTAGAATACTCTCCCCGCGCCAGAGAGCGTCCATGGTAACAGCCTCGTCGGCAGCCAGGTATGGAACAAAGACGATATTGTGATCTGACCATCCTAAGTCAAGTTCATAGAATAGATAGATAAATGTGCACCTCGATAATTTTCTCCGACGCCAGGCAAATTCACCAATTGCTGGATACCGCATCGCTTGAGAACCGCCTCGGCACCGATCCCAGACCTCTCCAGAATGGTCGGGGAACCGAATGCTCCACCAGAGATAACAACGAGCTTCGATGCTCTCGCAATACTCGACGACTGATCCGCGTCTGGACAAGATACTGGGTCACTGGTGAACTCGACACCTACAGCACGCTTGTCTCTTTCATTGGGAAAAGACGTCAATGGTTTGTTGCAACTGCGATCTCAGGCACCCACTTACTCAAAGATAACACGCTTCACGCGCTTTCCGTCCCAGACTTGTAAATTTGGGTTGTGAGCTTGGTTGTAGACATAGTGGTGAGCCGCGTCCGAACGCCTTCCGGTTGTCCCGTCAATGTACCTTTTATGCATGAGCCAAAAATTAGCGAAGCCTACGAGTGCAGGAACTCACTTCCGCCATGGCTAACAAGTCTAGTTAATAATCGCCGTTAGAAAAAAAAAACACCATGGCTCACACTATATGTATTGCATGTTTCCAAATCATTGGTGTCGTCGGCATAGTGCCTCTTGTGATAGGTCGTACCAACCTGAATGAACTCGTCGGAGACACCTATTTCACACCCACCAGAGGACACCTTAATAGGTCCATTATTGCCGTGAGTTGGATGATCGGGCTGCACTTCATATGTCTCTAGCTATAAATTGAAAGTATAAGTAATTCGAACAGATATCTTGAAAACGCATTCGAGACCTTCTTCATGAGAGGAATCAAATTTTCAGATTCCCAGCCATTGACTCCCCAATCATCATAGTCTGAAGCAGGTGCACGAGTGTATGCCATGACTGTCTCATTATCAGAGTCCTGTTCATCGTTGCAAGTATGCTACGCACAATTCACACACGAGCCTCCACCAACGCAACGACCGGAGGGAACGATTGGTGCACGGCCGTTGAGACGAGGAGATGGATTTCCAATGTTGAACGTGACCGTGGTGCTCGTCGGTGCTTGGTTAAAGGGATATTGGTAGGGTTGTACATGAATAGGTTTGTTGAGGGTGTGTTGACCCGCTTCCAGAATCAAGATCCTTAGCGAGGGATCACATGCAGCTAAGCGACCTGCAACAACACAGGCTGTAGCACCACCTATATACAATGTGTGAAGAGGCAAAACCACCACAAGAGAATATTTTCTCACCTCCAGCAAAAACGATATCGAATTCTGACAGGATTGGATGAGACATTGATATGCGGGGTTACTTTCAGGCCGCCATTCACTGCTTCATCTTATGACCTTCACCCAAATGAAACACCAACATTATGCCCACGGGGAGTTGCAATACGCTACGAATCACGCCATCAAGCACGCGATAGATTGCTATAGCGACTTCTTTCATTAGGCCAAGTGGAGTCATTGGAACCTAAAACGGGGGTGCATGTGATGCTGCGTGATTAAATGCGAAGCGTACAGGACGCGCCAGCGCGGGTATCTCAATGCATTGTTGAACTCGCAAACAGCGCAGATCTACAAGGCAACGTCCTGCGCCCGGCGTATTTGCTACCGCACAGTAACCGCATTATCCAATCACGAACAAGCCGTTAGTACACCATGCCCTCATTCGCGCCATGATTCTGTTTACAAATAAACCCAGGGACAGTGAAGTATGAGAGATGATTGTTGAAGCGCTCGAACATGGCCTCGCACCTAGGAAGCGATTCTGATTGCTACAAGATTACTGTCAAAGCTTAACGTACAAAGGACAGAAGGAACGCCTGTCCATTTGAAACAAAAAATAAGTCGATGGCTTGCGGAAAAACCAATTCGGGAACCTCCGGTATAGAGTTGGGTGGATACGTCTACGTAGCATTGCATTCGAATTCGGGGTGGTTGAGCGAAAGTCGTGTCAGAAAGGTAACTGAACGATAGATTTTTGAAAGCATGAAACGATCATAATGCATCATCCGAGATGCCGTCGAGCGGAACGAAACAAACGGAAAGAGCGTGTTCAATGTACCTCTCAGAGTGGATCGAAGAAAAAGAGCGGAGGCATGTTCGGATATTGCAGGGTCGTTTGGCTTCAGTTGCACACAACACACACTGGTTGAAATGTTGGGATGAGGAAATGTATGAGTACCTGGAACGCGCAAAGAAAAAAGGAATAATGAGAGGCGACTTTACATCCTTTGGGCGCAGATTTACCAGATTGTCCTAGTGTGACGATGGGCCCGTCCTCCTTAAAAAATCTCCGATGATCAATTGATCAATGGATGTCGACTGGATGATAGGAAGAGGACTGACAGTTGCGGAAAATTGCTCGCATCTTGTCTGCATCCAACTCGAATTTCTGTCGGGTAACTAGGAGACTCTTTGTGGCCAGTGGCTCATTCGTTGGTCCAGGTCAATTGTCGCAAGACTGGAAAAAATGTGAAGTGAAGTCGTTGGAGTAAAAGTGTTGGATGTCGAAGAAAGATCAAGCGCCAACAATGCTTTGATTAAGTTGATCTGTCGAGTGGAACGTGAGAAAAACACGGAGTGCATGTACATGTGATGCTACACAATTGAATGCATACGTAGCGCTACGTGCGCCGTATAGAACGGCGAGGGTACCTCGATATATCGTTGAGCTCGCAAACAAGTGCACAGACCCACAAGGCAACGTCCTGTACCCGCACGTCTCCAAGCAAGTTTTGCGTGGCAACAATTGATCAGGTCCTCAGGGGCCTGACGTATATGTCGTGCAGAATTTGATCAATCTCTTGCGGGTGATGTTAGTATGTGTATAGCATTTCCAGTGAGCAATGGATTTTTACCTTGCTCATGTGGGTTCAAATCAACATTCTTGTACGGTCCGGACAGATCATGACATGGCAATTAATCCCAAGAAAGAACAAAAAAGTTATTCTTTAACTCTACAGGAAAAAAGAGGTCAACAACGAGCGGGCGAAGTTCGAACACAACATGGTGGTTGTGCGGTTGCAGAACCATGCCTCTATGTAGAAGCACGTGTCTTGTCACGTGACATCCCATATAAAAGGTTTACGGTTGAAATTAAACATCATCGAATGATTCGAATCACAAATCCAAGGTTTGAAGATCATGCATTTGAGTTGGAACCGTCTGTAATCTAATGCTTTTTTTCAATTTAAGGTATGGTAAAATGTGGTGAGCCATGGTTGGTTGCACCAGCGAGCCCTTGATATAGGCTATCCACCCGCAAAGACATCTGAAGAGTTGCGTGATATCATTAGGCCGGCTTCGAGGGATGTTATGGGAGCGACGGGCGTTCTCTTATACGCCGGATTTCGTCGGGTGAAAACTCCCAAGGGCAGAAGCTTTTGGTGCATTGCCCTCGCTTGTGACGATCCTTGTACTGCAGGGGAACGCCTACCAGTCTACGCGCCGCCGGAGGCAACATATAAGGCTTTGAAGGAGGCGCTAGGGAGGGATGGCCCGCCTCACTGGTATCGAGCTATTTGCAACGAAACGTCGGTGAGTTTTTTACGTCGCCAATGGAAGTAACTGATGTTTTCTTTCTCTTCAGGGAAAACCGTGCAAGTCTCATCACATTGTCACGTACATCGCCACATACCATTGAAGTTATCAAATCCCAGGACGTGGTGGTATATCTAACATACATGAGCACGGAGCGTTTGATCCCGCGGAATCAATTCGCGTCCACCCCACGTGCGTGCTCCACCTGCGCGCCACCTGCACTCCAATTGTAGTGTCTCCTATTGTCTCTAGTTACAACACTACACGCAGAGATTTGTCTTTCATGTCGCACGCTAGCTTGTAAAGTACCACACTATGGATTCAATATCATATGATATCAGATGCAGGAAATAGTGCATCAATGGAAGCCCATAATCCCCTAGAATTGTACCATCAGATCAAACACAGATAACGCGGATGCTTCAATTCTTAGATTTCACTTTATCTGCTGTACGAAGACCACTTCGTTCCGTAAATTAATACCTCATGCTCATGTGGTCACGAAGTAATCCAGAAATTAGTACCAATTTCATTATTCATACGTACGCCGCATCTTGCCTTGATTATGGTCAGGTGAGCTCACAGAAGGCCAGGCCTTATTGGGTGTGCAGTATAAAGACCCCTCATGCGTGATCGTTTTCCCTAACGTTACTGGGACGAACCTGTCGCAATCATCTATCATGTCCAGGTAAGATGTGTCAAGTGTTTATCTAACTAGAAATGTTGCATGAAACAGAAGCTGAATTTTCCCATAGTTCCCAATTCCCAGCTCAATCTGCGTCTCCTCTCGGTAAACTCGGTATCGAGGCTGCCCTCGAGGCTGCCGCAGACCCATCCATCACACCAAAGCCCAAGATCTTCGATGAGTTCGCGCTAACCGACCGCGTCGGGCTTGTCTCCGGCGGAAATAGGGGCCTTGGCTTGGAGATGGCTCTTGCATGTTGCGAGGCTGGTGCACGTGTCGTATACTGCTTCGATCTTCCAGAAAAGCCATCAGGTGAATGGATCGCAAGCAGAGATTACGTCGCGAAGCTAGGGAATAACTCGCGGCTGGAGTATTTCAGCGCGAACGTCACTGAGCAGCAGGCGCTTTGGAAAAAGACGGAGGAGATTGGTGATAAAGAGGGAAGAATGGACTTTTGCGTCGCTGCGGCTGGTATTCTCAAGTCACACATAGACTGTCTGGAATACCCGGCAGAGGAGTACAGAGAGGTGGGTGATTGTTTCTACCGACAGTTTTTGAAATCAACCCCGATGTGAAGGTCCTGGATGTCAACGCCAGTGGTGTCCTCTTCACTGCGCAGGCTGCTGGCAGACAGATGTCACGATTCGGACGCGGTGGCAGTATCATTCTTATCGCATCAATGTCAGGCAGTATCACTAACAGGGTACGCATCTTCCAAACGTGACTGCTATGGCCATGTTTGCATGCTGACCCTGTATAGGGCCACGCCTGGGTATCGTACAACAGCTCCAAATCAGCTGTCCTGCAGATGGCTCGTAGCATGGCGTGTGAGCTTGGCGAAAAGAAGATTCGCGTCAACTCGTTGTCTCCAGGATATATCCACACCAGGTTTGTCTTGTGATTAATTGCATTGCAGTGCTAAATCATGATGGCTGTGATAGTATGACTGCAGCATATCTGGACAAACAACCGCACCTTTTCGATGTGTGGTCTAGTATGAACCCTCTGGGTCGACTCGGACGCCCTGACGAGTTGCGCGGTGTAGTGACGTGGCTGGCATCTGATGCATCGACATTCTGTACGGGTAGCGAGTGCGTTGACTCCCTTGTATTTCTTTGCTTAGCAGTGAAGCTAACTGTAAAATTCGCAGTATTATCGTCAGCGGTGGTCATCACTCCTGGTAATGGAACACTCGAGGAAGAAGGGCTTACTTGTAGGAGGCTTGTTGGCATATATGATTATTTTATTTCCGTTGTTATATTGGTCTGAGGAAGAGCCAGGATTCCGCGGATTCTCTATTGCTCCCTATCATCGACCATTGGGTGGCCATGGTCGTCTCGTATTATTGTCTTCCACTCAACAGCAGAAGGAACGGACAGTTTTGAAATTTGGGGCTCGACGCATGATTCCATGATAATGCTCGTACGAGAACGGGGTCCCTTTCGACTGCCAGGGAGGTGGAGGACGACTATCAACACAAAACAACTCCGATGGCACGATCAGGACTGCAGCAAAAGCGTCACGATGACTCTATATCCCGACAATGCAAAACCTTCTTCTCAGCTTGCTGCCAAAGAATGGCCGCGTGCCGGTGCTTGCAATAAGTTTGCCTGACCCAGGGTAACGGTAGAACGAGAACACCAATCGCGATCGTGTCGAACACAATTGGTTCCCTGGACGCCGTGACGTTTCCCTCCTTACATACAGATCTCTGGTGAGACCAGTTTGGACCCTTGCGATGAAATGAGGGTGAACCCTGTCAGTTGAGTCCACACCACCAGAAGTAGTGACTAGAATCTAGATCCCAAGAACGTTACTGCAAGCGTAAAGGGCTCGGGGTTGGTGGGAAAAGAACAGTTCTGGTTAGTAGGGCCGAGGGAACAAACGGGAACAAGAGACGCCCATTGACAGAGAAGTGGTATCACATAATACGATCTTTACAAAAAAAGGGAGTGGCAGGGAAGGCGTAGACACATCACTCAGGCTGTCCTCAAAGCCTCGGGATCCATTACAAAATTTTACGTGTAACCGATACAATAGAACATGACGGGCATGAAAAACGAAAC